AATATATAAGTCCATAGTGACAGGAGGAGGGAGGGATCAGAAGGGTACTTTACAACTACAAAATGGAATAATTGATTCAGACAACTATAATTAATGCCAAGACACAACAGTCAGGTGCAAAGGCTCCTTTTTTTTTTTTTTTTTTTTGAGAAAGAGTTTCGCTCTTGTTACCCAGGCTGGAGTGCAATGGCACGATCTCTGTTCATCACAAACTCTGCCTCCCAGGCTCAAGCAATTCTCCCACCTCAGCCTCCTGAGTAGCTAAGACCACATGCTCACACCAGCACGCTCAGCTAACTTTTGTATTTTTTGTAAAGACAGGGTTTTGCCATGTTGTCCAGGCTGGTCTCCAACTCATGAACTCAAGCGATCCGCCCGCCTTGGCCTCACAAAGTGCTGAGATTACAGGCGTGAGCCACCATGCCTGGCTGTCTTGAACTTTTATTTTATTTTATTTTATTTATTTTTTGAGACGGAGTTTCACTCTTGTTACCCAGGCTGGAATGCAATGGCGCGATCTCGGCTCACCGCAACCTCCGCCTCCTGGGTTCAGGCAATTCTCCTGCCTCAGCCTCCTGAGTAGCTGGGATTACAGGCACGCACCACCATGCCCAGCTAATGTTTTGTAATTTTAGTAGAGACGGGGTTTCACCATGTTGACCAGGATGGTCTCAATCTCTTGACCTCGTGATCCACCCGCCTCGGCCTCCCACAGTGCTGGGATTACAGGCTTGAGCCACCGCGCCCGGCCTTTTTTTTTTTTTTTAATAGAGACAGGGTTTCACCATATTGGTCAGACTGGTCTCGAACTTCTGACCTCAGGTGATCCACCCCGCCTCGGCCTCCCAAAATGCTGGGATTACAGGCGTGAGCCACAGCACCCAGCCGAAAAGGCTCTTTTCTTAGAAGAAGGTCTTTATGCAGTGGCGAAATACACCCCTCAGGTTACCTAATTTTCAGAAAAGATAAAAGATTCCTTTCCAGTGGAGCAGTCTGGCAGGCATTACCTCAACTGCAAGTTCAAATTTAGTCTCCCTGATGAGTCAGCCTGAGATTTTGTGCCAAGATTAAGTACGCAAAGCATCACCTATGAAATCTTCCTGCTACATATGTTGAATTTGAATCCAATTAAGCTTTTAGGCCTAGTGTAATTTCCAGTTTACAGAAAATACAGGAGCTAAGACAGAAAAACAGGAAACAATTAGCTCCAGAATAAGGGACATTCCACAAAGTCAATGTCCTGAATTCTTTGTTTTATTTCTTTTCTTCTTCCTTTTTTTTTGAGTGGAGTTTTGCTCTTGTTGCCCAGGCTGGAATCAGCTTGCTGCAACCTCCACCTCTTGGGTTCAAGCAATTCTCCTGTCTCAGCCTCCTGAGTAGCTGGGATTACAGGCATCTGCCACCACGCCTGGCTAATCTTTGTATTTTTCAATAGAGATAGGGTTTCACCACATTGGCCAGGCTGGTCCTGAACTCCTGACCTCAGATAATCCATCCGCCCTGGCCTCCCAAAGTGCTGGGATTACAGGTGGGAGCCACCACGCCCAGCTGTTTTCTTTTGGAGACAAGGTCTGGCTCTATCATCCAGGCTAGAGTACAGTGGCACCATCACAGCTTACTGCAAACTCTGCCTCCCAGGCTCAAGCAATTCTCCCACCTCAGCCTCCTGAGTAGCTAAGACCACATGCTCACACCAGCACGCTCAGCTAACTTTTGTATTTTTTGTAAAGACAGGGTTTTGCCATGTTGTCCAGGCTGGTCTCCAACTCATGAACTCAAGCGATCCGCCCGCCTTGGCCTCACAAAGTGCTGAGATTACAGGCGTGAGCCACCATGCCTGGCTGTCTTGAACTTTTATTTTATTTTATTTTATTTATTTTTTGAGACGGAGTTTCACTCTTGTTACCCAGGCTGGAATGCAATGGCGCGATCTCGGCTCACCGCAACCTCCGCCTTCTGGGTTCAGGCAATTCTCCTGCCTCAACTTCCTGAGTAGCTGGGATTACAGGCACGCACCACCATGCCCAGCTAATGTTTTGTAATTTTAGTAGAGACGGGGTTTCACCATGTTGACTAGGATGGTCTCAATCTCTTGACCTCGTGATCCACCCGCCTCGGCCTCCCAAAGTGCTGGGATTACAGGC